AGGATTGCTCAGGTTGGTGTCAGTGATCTTTCTTGAAGAATTTTTACAGGAAAATAATCTTGTACACCTAATTACCAAATTTCAAAACAATGGACATTCAATCACACCAATGGCATGAAGACACAATTGGATCACATCCTGATAAATAAGAAGTGGAAGGACAGTGAAATCAACTGCCAAACCTTCAACACATTTGAAGGAATATCTTCAGACCATCTGATATTTAATTCCACCATCTGACTTAGTCTTAGAGCCAATAAGAAAAGCAATTTGCCTTCCAACTGTATGACTGGTCTCTTAACAACAACAGTTATCTCAAAGACCAGTACGTCATTTCTGTAAGGAATAAGTTTGAAACACTACAAGCAGATGGTGATGAACAATCTTCTAATACAACCTACAATAATTTTGTAACTTCTCATGAAAAGGCAACAGATGTCATACATTTAAAACCTAAACATCAGCAACACATTCCCTTGGAATCAAATAGTATTGAATCACAAAGGACTAATGTGAAAAAAAAAAGAAAAAAGCTGCCATAAGAAATTCAAATCCATTCCTTAAATCTATCCAAAACTTCAATGAAGTGCTTGCTCAACTTAAGAACTCTTATGAAGATCAACACGCTGAATACATCCAGGAAAAATTGGACTCATCAACTCTGCTGTTGCCAACAAACAATCTGCTCTTGCTTGAAAAACTGTCAACGTGATCAGTGGCAGAAAATCAACAAACAAATCCAAGTTAAAGGCCAACAGTCAGGCTGAATAAATAGCGAAAACACTTCAAAAATCACTTGGAAAATGTACCTGGCATTTTAGATACCAGAGTTGAGCAAATCATTGAACTATAGAAATGCATTACAATCATTAAATGTGTTACAAATTGCATCCACTATAATAATTAGATATATAGTATTTAGTAAATACTAAAAGTAAATAAAGGAAAGAAGATTTTGGCTCATCTCGCAGAAGAATTTGTAACAGCCCACTTTGTCTTGCTACAAAAAGAGAAGTAAATGAAAATCATTATAGTGACATTCATGCTTAGACTAACTAAAATGGAATTGATTATTTATCATGAATTTTTCTGGTTCTTTGTCTTTTTTGTCTACTTAAAATTTATTTTAGTAAGTTTTGTTATTATTCAATCTTGTCTAAACCATATTTTATCTGATTGGAGGCCTTACTTATCAATCTACCATTTTGGAGAAAAATAAATTTATTTAATTTTTATACACGTTTCATTATTCTATCTGGTCAAAAAGTTGTTTTATAAAATTGGACACCTTATCTCTCAACAACTCTTCTTTCTAAAATTGTTTATGTATTTATATCTTTTTTTTTTTAAGTTATGTTTTGTTTAATGTTATTTTTTAATCTTTAAGTCTGTATATTTGTATGCTTTTGTCTGTGTTACTAGATTTGTCACTCTGTCAGCCATTTTTCTATTTTGCTTGCTTTGCCCTGTATTGCTTCATAAACACATTTTCTCTTTTTCCCTTCCATTTTTTTTATTAACCTCTTTTACACTTTTTGTTAAGTGATGACTAACAAGATTCAAAAGAAAAAAATTAATGACCACATCCAGATTGCAATGAAAAGCTCATTTGTCAGTTGTTTTGCAAAAGCAATGTAATTAGGTTTTTTTAAAAAAAAAAAAAAAATAGAAATCAAAAAAAATTTCAAGGTGATACCAAATTGAAGTTGAAGCTCTTAAACCAAAGTCAGTGTCAGGGTGATTTTAGTTTTCTAAAAAGGAAATCAAAGAAAAATAAAATCCTGTCTGTTTTAACCTTTAATTTGATCATAGTTGAAGATTGGCAACAGATTAATCAAACAGCCATCTTGATTCTTTACCCATCATGCAATGCTTTAAATCTAATCCAGCTCATAGGCCTGAACAAAATCAGGGCAGAAATTTTGTGTTGTATGCAGCTCAATTCAATTTTCCCCAAGAGAAAAATTTCTTTCATTCAAAAAGTATTTCAGAAAGAAAAGAATAAATAGATAAACAGTTTACAAACATCTTTTCAATATATCTTCTAGAAGAGAATCAATGTATACAGGAGCAAGCATTCATGCTCATTCAGTGAACCCCCCCCCAAAAAAAAACAACAGGTATTAATAAGGTTTTGCCAAAAGTAAGAAAAATTCAGAACATGAGATTGATTTTTATGAAATAGTAAAAACAAGTAAAGCATGAATAATTTAACTGAACATTTTGTGCTGAAATTGTTTGTTGTATAAAACTTAACCAAAATAATGATTTTTACATGATTGAATTATTTCAAATTTTCCAATACTTATAACACAAATTTTTTAAATTACAATATTTGCAATTTTTGTTTTATCTAAAAATCAACATATCAGAAAATTTGACGGAGTGAATGGGTAATAACAGTGGTGGAGGTAAAACATTTTTAGAAACTAGTTGTCTTTTCCTTTTTTCTTTTTAACGTCCATAAATTTCTGGGTTTCAAATTTTTTGGGAATCTGTTCTCTCTTTATTTATGCAACACACTTGTGGGATTGAAAATTTTTTTTTTTTTTTTTTTTTTTTTTTTTTTTTTTTAGGAACCTATTCCTTTCTTTACATCCAAAAATATCTGGGATTCAAAATCTTTTCTCTTTCTACATGCATTAATTTCAGAGATTCAATTTTTTTAGGGACCTGTTCCTGCTTTCTTTATATCCATAAATTTCTACGACTGAAAACCTCTTGTCTTTCTTTACATCCATAAATGCCTAGGATTCAAAATTTTTACAAATCTGTATTTTTATTTCTTTGCATCCATAAAGCTCTGGCACTGAAAAGCGTTTTTTCCTCTTTTTTTTTTACATATATAAATTTCTCAGATTCAAAATCTCTCCTTTTTTTATTTCACAAATTTCTGGGATTAATAATTTTCCCAACTATTTTCTCTTGACATCCATAAACATTTTGTCTAGGGAGTTAATGAGATATTTTTGTTTTTTAATCATCTCACCCCATACAAGAGAGTGAAGCCACTAAGATGTAATGGTTTACTGAATGTTAAAAATAAGAAAAAAGAGAATTATTATTATGGAGTAAGAACAATAGAAGAGTAATCACGAAGACAGTAGATAATGATTGACATTGCATTTAAATTTTTGAAGATCAAAGTTGGCTGGAAAGCATGGAGCTGGAAGGGAGTTCCACAAGTGAGAAATATGAGAAAAGAAACTGTTAGCATAGAAATTACAGTTTCATCTAGCCAATTCAATAGTAAATTGATGAAACTTTGCCACCAATCTAGTACTGCACTTACATTCTTAAAGTCTAGGTACCATAGTGAAGAGTTTATCCAAGCAATTACCATGAAACTATTTACAGAAAAGGCACAGGAAAGCTACATTATGGCAGTGGGAAAATAACTGAAGCCAAGATGCCAGCTGCTGATTCTTTGGATTTTCTCAAGAATCTCTAAATATACAGCATGATTCCAGGACCATATGTGGCAGCAATATTCTAAGCAAAAGTTAAAGCATAGATTTATAAATATGCAAGATAGATTCTGGAGAGAAAAATTGCCTAGAATGACACAGTGAACCAACTTTCTTAGCAGTAGAACTAGCAATGGATTCAATATAATTTTTCCATTTTGTATCAGCTGAGAATGTTAGCTGAAGAAGGCACAATGAATAACTCTTCTGAAGGTTAGCATTAGCCATACTGATGGAAAGCAGAAAGGGTCTCTCAGATAGAGAGGTTTCATTTTCAAGACATTAAAATCAACATATCAATCCTTGCCCTACTTAACAGACTGTAGGTCATCTTTTAGATCAGCTGCCAATTTGACCTTATCAAACTGATCAGACTTACTATCAAGACAGGAGTAAATGGTTGGGTCATCAGCATAGATACAAAGTTGAGAACTAATGTTATCAGGAAGGTCATTAAGGAAAATTAAGAACAAAGTAGTTTAAGGATAGAAACCTCGGAGGGAGGGGCATCTGCCTGAGTACGAAAAGATCTAGAAAAGTAACCAATCAGGACAACTTTCATTTCACAATTTGATAAGGGTAAGTAACTAATAATTTTAAGGCCATGTTTAAAATATTTTCCTTATTTTTTTTAGACAAACTTAACATAAATAGAATTAAATAAGTAAAAATTACATTCAGTTTAAAAACGTTTTTGGTATTTATTTTTAAGCTCTCTCAAGCAAGCGATTCTAACCTTAATTTGATAAAATGGCAGATTTTTGTTGATAAATGAAAAATTCAATTACCCAGCAGGTTACAGGAAGTGAAAGTGAAAAAGAATAAGATCAAGAATAGGGAGGAAGTTTACATATTTTTTTATGAAAAATAATAAACATGCCATATGAAATATGTAGAGTGACCAATTTTCCATTTCAAATTTTCCTTAATTCCATTTCAGTTTTTAGGGAATTCCATTTTTTTCTGTTTTCAGTATAGAATTCCATTTTTGCTTCATTATAATCAGTCAGTCATGTGCCACGCATGATACATGCTTAGGTGATCATGTATCTTTCTATACATGACTGACGAGGCAGATTTTTTTTCCCCCGCCGTAGGTTGCCATTTCTTTATGCGGTAGACTGGTTGCCATCCTGGTCTATCCTGCTATTTATCCATAGCTTTGAGAAGAGGATTCATACCTTTCCCAAGGGTATCAGCATGTGAGTGAATGTAATGGATTCGAGTGGAATTTGAGCTCGGCTCTGATTCCTCAATCCAAGTTGCTATCCATTATTCCACTGTGACTTCTTTTTTCTCTGGTTGCCATTTCTTTCTGTGGTAGACCAGTTGCCATCCAAGGCTATAGAACCCGGTCTGCCCTGCTATTTACCCATAGCTAGGTGGGGAAAATAAGAGGATTCATACCATTCCCAAGGGTATTAGCATGTAAGTGAATGTAATGGATTTGACTGGAATTTGAACTCAGTTCTCCAATTCCTCAATCCGAGCTGCTATCCATTACTACACCGTGCCTCCTTTTAAAAAGCACTAACAACACCTGGTATTTCCACGCAGTCACTCGTCTAAGTACTGACAAAGCTCAACTTTGCTTAACTTCAGTGATCGAACGAGAACCGTGATATGGCCGTATTCATTATAATACTTAGTGAGAAAGTGTAATAATATATAAATGCTATTAAAACAAAAAATAAAATTATTAAAATTTTTGCAAAAAGTTTAATTCATAAATTTGGGCTTTCTGAAATGACAAACTGAAACCCCACTTCTGTTACCATGTGTAATAGGAAAAAGAAAGGATAAAACAAAAAGACAAAATTTTGTTCCCCCCCTCCAACGCACTCCTGTTTTATTAAAACAAGCAAACTTTGTAAAACTTGGTTCCTAAATACTGTAATCTGTAGGAAGACAGTAGGTAAGGGAAATGTATTCAAACATTACGAACCATATCCTTTGATTTATTCAACTTCAATGAGGGAGTTAGGAAAGGCAGACATAGTAACAAATAAAAATGGCAGCTGGCAAATCTAATTGTTAGACAAAAGACAATTTCCATTTCAAAATCATGATTTCAGTTTCAAGTAGGCCATTCTATTTTTCTGTTTTAACAGAAAATAAGCCCCTCTAAATACGTCCATGCCGGTTGAAAGGAAAATGAAAGGAATGGTTTAATTGTGCTGGTAATTGTATTTGGAGCATAAAGGCACCTTAAAATGGCTGAAGAGTATCACTATTGAAATATTGTGATGATGAAAATCAAAATTACGTCAGAGAAAACCACTATTTCTTTTATTTTTAATCAATTCACCCCAAGCAAGGCAAAATGTCTCAAATATGCAGGCAGTTGCAGGAAGTGTAAGTGAAAGAGAATAGTGAGAATAGGGAGAACTGAGAGAAGGACAAAAGATGAACAAGATTCAAGAAGAGAGATGGTGATTGACGTGCATTTAAAATTTTGATTTTATCAGGGAGGCATGTAAACAGAAAGTAGTTCCACAGGTGGGAAGTGCAAGAAAAGAATCTTTTAAAGTAGCAGTGGTGGTTGCATTTAGTTATTTCAACAGTAAAAGGTGGGACTCCATGCAGTCAAGGCACCGAGGAAAAAAAGCTCGTCAGAGCAATTGACATGAAAATATTTGTCGAAAATACAGAGGGAAATGATGCCACATTGGTGAGAAAGTGACTGAAATCAAGATACCTGGTCAAGATTGATTACCTTACAGATCCTTCTCTGCACCAGACCAGATATGACAACAGTATCCAATGTGCAAATGAATGGTAGATTTATAAATGTGCTAGATGGATTCTGACAAGAAAAAATTATCTGGTATGACACAATGAACCAACTTTCCTTGCGGAAGACAAAATAATTGATTTGATATAGCCATTCCACTTCATGACAGTGGAAAACATGAAGCCAAGAAGGTTGTTCTCCTTGAGTTTAACATCAGCCATGCTGATGGCAGGCAGAAAATGTTTTCTATGGTGATTAAATAAAAGCAGTTTTGTTTTGAAGGTCATTTCTTGCCCCATTTAATCACTGACTGGAGGTCCTTTTCAAGAGCAGTTGCCAGGTTTACATTATCAGGTCTGTCAGATTTGCTAAGACAGGAGTAAATGGTTGTGTCATCTGCATAAATACCTAGTTGGGAACTAATATTATCAAGTAGGTCATTTATGAAGATCAAAAACATCATAGATATATATATATATATATATATATATATATATATATATATATGTGAAAATATATAGAAAATAGGAAGGAACTGGTTAGATAAAAAATCCAAAGTCCCTTAGTATTTTAGTTATTTTTAAAAAATAGTGCTCGATACAAAAGTAGAGCATAAATATAATTATTTATTTAAAAATATGATTCCAAATCGCTACATAAGAGTTCTCATGTTTCAAAACAAGAGCCGAAAACTTCAAATATAATCCTTTAAATTAAATTGAGTTGAAATTAAAATGGGCTCCTTTCCATCTTCAAGCTTAAATTTTTGTTGGAATAACGAATATCTGAAATTTACTTGTTTTAAAAAATTGAAATCAAAATCCCCATGGTAACAGCTAGGGCGAATTGTCTGAATTGGGTGGCCCGAATGTAGGGTGTTAATAATAAGTAGCGGTATAGAGATACTTTCAAGGTGTCAAGTCGGGGAAATGTTGGGGTGTCAAAATGAAACGGAAGATGTATTAATCTTCGTTTAGTTTGCTAGTCTATGGATATTTATTTATTTATTTTATTTATGAAAGGGATTGTGCATATAAAAAAGAAAAACTTTCATAACGTTTGTTTTTTTTGACTTCATAAAGGGTTATCTTTTATGTAAGATATTTAAACTACTGACTTGGGCTATGGATTATGAAGGGTGTTATGTTGTATGCATGTTTGTAATTAATTATTCCTACTATGAATCTGATGATTGGGCTATTTGTTAAACAAGTTATATAATTTTTTTTTTTTTTATCTAATAATTCAAACCAAAAATCTGATGATGCCTACAGAAAACCGTTAACTCGTGTCTATTATTTAATAGATTATTATTATTTAGAAGTTTAATAATGTGCAATTTTTCATGGAGGCACAAAAGGGTCATCCCAAGCTTTACATATTGGGTCATATATAATATATATATATATATATATATATATATATATATATATATATATATATATATATATATTATTTATTTATTATAAATTAATTGATTTAAAATATGGTTATTTTGCTACACAGTTCTAACCATGTTTCAAAAATGGAAGCTAAAAGCTTCAAATTTAATTTTGTAATTAAATTAAAGACATTAGTTCCATTTGATCCTCAAGCAAATTTTGGAGTAACTTATTTTTAAAATTACTGGGTTTTAAAGGCATGCAAAAATTCATAATTCATGTTTCCAAGGATACTTGTATACAACAGAATACAGTGATAATGAACACGCAACCACCCTTTGTCTGGATGAATGGATTCCTCTGTATCCTTTGCAAAAATAAAAATATCTATAAGAACACTGGATTATATATCTTACTGTTCTTTCTTTTTTTATATATATATATATATATATATATATATATATATATATATATATATATATATATATATATATATATATTTTTCTGTTTATATGTTATTTTTATAGATACAATTATTTAAGTAAATGTTCTGTTTGTAATAAGCTGCATTAATTACATTTACCAGCCTGAAAGTCTGAGAAATTTTGTAGACAACATGTCCTCCAAAAGGAATTGAATCTGTGTCCTACACGGAACCGTTATTTGATCTGACGAGTTATACCACTCTGCTAACCAGATGCTTCCTCTGTAGCTAAGTCCAAATTAAATTTTAAACAATAAATTTCCCACAATCTTTCTTGAAATTTCTCAGACATAAATGTTATTAATACTATTCCTTATATATTAAAATAATTGTCGGACTTAGTCCATTTCATAATACATGTCATTTGTTTATGCTAAGATATGATCATTCTAGAAAGATCATGGGAAATTAGTTGTATAAAAACAGTAATTTGGACTTTTCTAAACAAACACTTCCTCTGTAGCTGAGTGGTATAGCAGGTTAGGTCAAATGACAATTCTGTGTAGGACACAGATTTGATTCCTGTTGGAGGACACAAATTTTCTACAAAACTTTTTTGACATTTAGGCCAGTAAATGTAATTAATAATGTTTGTTATAAACAGAGCATTTACTTAAATAATTGTATCATTAAAAATAACATATAAACAGAAAATATATTAAAATAATTTTCGGTCCCCATAATGTATAAGAAAAATACATAGTAAGAAATAAAACTAGAGCTACTCAAGTTTCACTCTCCAGTTGAAGGACTGGAAGTTGTACCAACCTTAGATATTGAAAACTCATTTATAACAAGCAGCTTACAAAAAAGTATCTAATATCCAGTATGGAAACCAGAGGAGATTCACTTCCAATTCTTCATATTTAAGACTGGTACCACAAGCTAAGTAAGACTAAAATTGAACCTGGCCTAATGAGCATGAAACTCGAGTCACCCTGGTTTTATTTCTTACAGTGTATTTTTCTTATATTTTATAGGGTCTGCTTCATATTGAGTCCTTTTTATTACCAGCTTCACTATAATTGGAGCCAACTAAAAACCATTGTATTTATATATATATATATATATATATATATATATATATATATGTGTGTGTTAGCTATCACTGATATTGAGTGTTTTCCAGTAAGTACTGTGCATACATTATATATATATATATATATATATATATATATATATATATAAACAGTTAACTGGTTTTGTATCATTTTCCCAACTATATATAGTTGGAAAGATAATACAAAACAAGTTAACTGCATTAGTTACCTACACATATTGCAAGTATTTACATCAAATTTCATATATAGCTTTCAACTTCACAACAGTAATATAGGCAAAAATTTCAATGAATACATTTACATAAAAAAATATAAAACATATTTAATATTAGCCTACATACACACAAGCGCCTTTCTTTGGTCATATAGGAAATACTTATACATGAGTCAATGGTGTTGTCATGGGTTCACCTATCACTCCAACATTGTTGGAGTTTTATATATCAGCCCAAGGAAATGATATTTTAAAAAAACGTCCCAAATCAAAAACCCAAAATCTACACCTACTATGTTGACAGCATATTCATACTAACTTCCTGATGTTATCGGTCCGAGGAGATTTTTCTAAGCTTGTGAGTGAAATTGGGTAGATGGGATTGTTCATCAACACTTGTGCTAGCATGAAGTCACAAGTCATTGTGACTGAGTGTTTGAGCATAACGGATGACTTCAAACTGTTGATCACACTAGATGATGCACTCTCTACAAGGTATAAGCTACAGGTGGATTCTGTCGGTGTTGAACAAACACAAAAGTACCTGAGCAGGCGTCTGCAATGGGGATTGGCTAGTTGCCTTAACAGACAGGCATATTCGAATATGAACAGTCAGTCATTATTATCTGATAATGGCTCAAATCACATCATCGACCAAGACAACAAAAAACACAAGAAATCCAACAAACCCTTAGCAATAGCACAAAAGTGTTATATCATATAAACTGCAAAAAACTATTACAA